TTGGGTTTTGCCACGACCTAACTTAACTTTTCCTCGTCCTACCTAATTTAAAACGACCTACGTTCCTACGCCCACGTGGGGGTTGTGAAAACCTCAGTTTGGTTGGGTTAGCACAATACAGTGAGAAGTGTCGAAGTTGTGACACTGTTAGTGTAGTGTGGATCGCCCCTCTAAACAATAAATCATACCAGTTGATTCAAGGTGAGCACACTGTTCAGAAAATGTATTCCAAAACTAATATGCACTCCTTCTGCAACCAGAGCCTGTTCAGTAAAGTCAAGTTGAGCACACACTATGAGGCACAAAACTGCATAATTACAATGCCTTCTTACCACAGCTTGAGTCTGCCCCATAGAGTAGAGGTGAACACACAAGGTATTGTATGAATGTGGCCCAAACACACTAGCTCACTGACTGCTTGTGTGCAAGTGTTCTCATTCCACACATCTCTGCAACACATGGGGATCCTTCGCCTCTTTCCCTCCTAACTTTCCGGGTGAGATGCGGTCTCTCGTGGGTGTGTCTCCTTGGAGCCCTTTCCATCAGGTGTCATACTCCTTGGGCTTCCCATTGGGTACTTTCTGAAGAGATCTCATCTAGATAAAATTTGCATTGGCCCTTCCACCAATTCAGCATGGGATTCTAGCTGAAAATGTGTTTCTGATGGATACTTACATGATCTCCCGACTTGCGGAATAAATCTTTTGACTTACTTTATCAAAGAATAAAGTTATTGCAAGTGCTTAAGGTTAGTTACTGCACATGGAGATTGTGTTCCCCTCCTGTTGGTGGAGGGCTTTTGTCACATGATGGTGTCACCATGTACCAGTCAATTCATGTTAAAATATGTGAAGGGGAGTTACTGCACGTGGAGATTGTGTTCCCCTCCTGTTGGTGGAGGGCTTTTGTCACATGATGGTGTCACCATGTAGCAGTCAATTCATGTTAAAACATGTGAAGGGGAGTTACTGCACGTGGAGATTGTGCCCTCCACCAACAGGAGGGGAACTTTTGTTAACAAAATAGTTGTTCAATTGTCTATTATCCTTTCAAAAATGGTTTGTCAAACAGCTGCTGCATATCTATTTCCTAGTAGCTGTAGAAGTGTGGTTTTCCTGATAAATGTAAGATAAGTAATTCGGATAAAAGGAAAATAAACACATTTTACACAGAAATCACAATCAAATCTCCAGTATTACAAGTTGAGTAATTCTAGCGGTGGTTACGAAGGATATTTCCCTTTATTTGTGTTTGTGACATTTTATTTAAGTGAAAAGTGTTTTACAAGGTCTGCAAAATGTGTTATTAATATTAACTTTCAGTTAGTACAAGTTACCTACTGAGACAAAACTAAAAACCAACCTAGTAATGAGTGTAGCTAATTAATATATACTGTTCTTATTTATAAAGATTAGAATGCATTGTTTCATCAGTTGGGTACCCTTACTATTGCCCCCTTACCCTTGTGTCTCAGTGAGACTTTTGAAGGCTTATACCTTTGGTGGGCACATCACAGACAGCACATTGAATGGCTTTGTGCTTAACAACAAACAAACAAAATAAACCCTTGCTGTTAACAATATTTTCAGCTGTACTCAGGAAAGACATTCATTGATCCTTGGTTATCCAAACACTGTTGATTTACAAGATGCAGGATTGAAACACTTAGTTTAGAGCAATGTTTGGTAACTGTTTTAAGAACAGTTTTGACAACTAGTTCTAACTTTATGAGTTCTAAACATCATAGAAAGTTCTATGGAAGTTTTGAGAAGATTTCAGTTGAATTAGAATGAGTGACTTCTCATCTAAACTTTATTTTTTCATATGAAAATTGAGTAAAGTATAATACATCTTGGACAAACTGAGGAAACTTGTTGTTTCTTAGACAACCGAGATTAAACTAGGTGTTTATAGGATGAACTGAGGTTAAATAAGCTCTATGTGTTTTGTTTTTTTTTAGGATGAATGAAGGTTAAATAAACTGTGTTTTTGTAGTATGAACTGAGTTTAAATAAGATCTGTTTTTTTTTGTTTTTGTAGGATGAACTGAGGTTAAATAAACTGTGTTTTTTGTAGTATGAACTGAGGTTAAATAAGATCTGTTTTTTAAGGATAAACTGAGGTTAAATAAGCTCTATGTGTTTTTGTTTTTTTTAGGATGAATGAAGGTTAAATAAACTGTGTTTTTTGTAGTATGAACTGAGGTTAAATAAGATCTGTGTTTTTTGTAGGATGAACTGAGGTTAAATAAACTCTAGTTTTTGTAGTATGAACTGGGGTTAAATAAGCTCTATGTGTTTTTGTTTTTTTAGGATGAATGAAGGTTAAATAAACTCTGTGGTTTTTGTAGTATGAACTGAGGTTAAATAAGCTCTATTTTTTGTAGTATGAAATGAGGTTTTTTTGGTGTTTAATTTGAGGTTTCTTGGATGAGTTGAAGTTACAGTTTTTTGTTTCCATGACATCCATCCTTTTACTCGTACCATTGAGAACATTTAAATCTTGTTTTTCTAGTTTTAGTTATAAATCACTTTCATGTTGTTTTTTAATTAGCATCACTGACTTGAAATTTTGCATTTTCACATTTTTCGAAAGAAATGTGACATAAATAGTTTATAAAGTGTTATTTTCTTGAATCCAACTGTGTTAAACCTAAAAAAAATATGTCTGATAACACAATGACCTTGTGAAATATATTTAAGAAGATAACAGCTAAAAGTTTTGGAAATAATTTTTTGGTCCTTCACTGGGTGAAGGAAAAGTGAATATTGTAAATGAGTTTTAATTTTTTTTTTACTTTGAATAAGTATGTTGTTTCTCTTAATGCTTCCCATACCAGGAAAGGGGCTTTTATGGCCTCCCAGACACCTGGGTAAGTTTTGGTCTATTTTTTCTAAACCACATAACATTAATGTTTTTGTTTAGCGTGAAATTCGTTAATTTTGCTTTGCTAAACAGCCAAGGAAAAGTACAATTTTTGGGGTTTTTAGTCAGTCAGCCTTTGTAATTACACTTCTTGTTTGTAAAAATTGAGTTTTTTGTTGCTGTTTAATGTTCTGATGACTGTTTTTTTTTTTATAGTCTACAGCGACCACCCAGAGCTCAGTGGTTAGGAAGTCCCCGTCCAGCAACCAAAAAACTAGTCAATCCTTCTAGTTTGGAAACTGTGCTCTTTGGTCCTACGGTAAGCAAATTATAGCATTAATAACACCTGTAAAATAATCAAAGTAATGGTCAGTGTGAGTTTTACACATTTAAAGTTATAAAGTGTTTATTTATCGTGAACTTGAATTTTAAAACTTCTGTAAATGTTCCTGTCTTCCTCATATTTCTGACTTTGAAGAATGAGACTATAATGCCAGATATTTTTCTTGAGGTGTGCTTTTTACAGATAGTTTGTCAATCAATGCTATTCACTTTTATTCTCAACCGCTTTCACCAGTTCCTGAAATCCTGTACTTAATGAGACAGAAGTGTTATGTATATATCATTACTTAAGTATAAATGATGATATGGATACTGTGTGAAGTTGATCATTTGATCTCATTCCCTCACTACATAAGACTGGGATTTTCCTGATGAATGAATGAAGGTGAAATATGTAACAACTGCTTAGTTCAGAGTGACACTTGTAAAGAAAGTCATGGAAGACTCTTCTACAAAACTAGCTCAGGTGAAATAGGACAATGTTTTGAAAGACTCATCTTTTGTCTTGAGGTCAGTTTGAACTAGTTTTCTCAGGGGTGTATGTGGTATCCAGAAGAATTGACATGATTGGCCAGTGGTTTTTCTTAAAGTGGTTGGCGAAATGAGTGCTCTTTTGACTAATGGTAGCCACTAGCTGATGATTTTCAGGCCTGAGTGTCTGGTTTTACTGTGCTGGGGTAGAAGAAATCTTTGGTTTTTCTAGTTTTTTAAAATATATCTGAGTTGATGTGTCTTCAATTGTCCCAGTCTGTTTTTATGTCGAGTCAACATGTCATGTTCTGCCAAGGCTAAATTCTTTGTTTCCATAAGTCTCTTATAGTCATTATGTTCTTTTATTCTTGCCCAAAGTGTGTTCCAGTATCTCCGATGTAGGTCTGTTTGCATGAACATGGTATGTAAAAAATTCCTTTTTTATGTTTGTTTGTCGGTTGTTCTTTGAATAGTTTGTATAAAAACAGGTTTGAATGTTTTGTAAGATCTCCAGCAAGCATCAATGGCTAATATTTTAACTATGTGTTTGATCTTCTCACATAGCCTTTGTACATATGGGAGGTAAGTAGTATTGGACTTATATTTCTTGTCTGTTGTACCAGTAATTAAACTAGAGGAGTACCCATTCTGTTTAAAACAATATATGGTGTTTCAACGTTCGGTTTTGATGGAGAATTCATCACAGATGTTTCAGTGCTGTTTTCATGCTTCTAATAATATTGCATTTAAAAAAAAGGTGAATGGTAGGCCTGGATATTTAAGTAGCTTTCAGTTTGAGTTGGTTTCCTGTATTTGGTTGTTGTGAGTTTGTCTGTCTGTCTGCTGATGAAAATGTCAAGAAACAACAGGTTGTTGTTCTCTATTTCCATGGTGAAGTGGATTCTGTTGTCTATGGAGTTAAGATGTTAGTAAGGTTTTATGATTATAAGGCCAGATAACAAGTGTTGTCTGAGAAAGCTGGGTTTCTTGTCTGTAGAGGAAGGAATTTGATAAGAATCTTCCAAGGAAATGTCACTGGAACTGGAGAAAGTGTTGGTACCATGGCAATGTCATCTGTTTGTTTAAAGAAATTGGTGCTGTATTGAAAGTGTGTGGATTGTAGACAAACTGTGGTCAGATTCATAATAGTTTCTGTCTTCATGTTAGTTCTGTATGTAAAAGAATTATCATTGTACAGCCATTCTGTAGTTGGAATATTAGTAAACAAGTCTTTGATTGAGGAAGATATCCCTTGGTTTTGAGTCATTCGGTGAAATGTTTTCAGTTGAGGACATGATGTTCAATATTATCCCATAGTTGTGATAGGGTAGGTACCAAAAGTGATGGCAAGATGAGTTTATGACACTGACAGTAGGACTGAGAGGTACGTGGATCTTAGGTAGTTCATAAGACTGTAGAGGACAGTTATTACGTACTCTTAGGTTCTTGGTTGTGTTTTCACTGATTAGGCCTCTGTTTTTGGGTTTGTTTAATGTTCTTTTGATGAGTACCTCTGTTTTTTTTATAGGGCCATTATTGAGGTTTTTGTATGGTTGGCCAACTAGTAACTAGGGATTTAGTGCTGCTGGAGTGCATCACAGTGATGATCCAGCACCTGAAATTGGAGATGAGTCCTGACACTTCAAAAATACTAAAAATTTGTATGTAAAAAATTATTCAGTTAACACTTGAAATTAAGTGTCTTACATAATCCAACTTGGAGTGTCAGAGAACATCGGCTGTGTATGATCCTCTGTGTCCAATGGTAGAGCTCTCTCAGACTACCTAGCACACACATACTGTCACTCTCAGGAGTTGGCATTAGGCACCATGTGACCACTCCAGCTTAAGTGCAGGTGTCAGAACATTAAAATGGTAAAATGTTTTTTGTTATATGTCATGTGATTATCAAGACACATTAAAATTGTATTAGAACACTTAAATAAATTACATTTTACAATTATAATGTGTGTTTGAAATGTATTCACTTTTAAAAATATTATTTACATAACATACAAAGAAGATTGCTCTTTTGTTTTAGTTATTCTTTTTGGCAGGACAAGAAGTATGCAAACTATTGTATAAGTCAAAGTTGTTAATATTGTAGTGTAGTTAGAAGCCTAGTAAATTAAAAACAAACGTTTTTAAAACTTGTTTAATGTTAGTAATTTTTATATGATACCCAGTTGTTTTTTGCTTGTTGCTTAATTTAAAGGAACCTGAGTTGCAGGTTTTCTCGTGGTAATATATGTGTATTGAATGTTGCACTAATATATATATATATATATATATAGTATCTAATCAGTGGTACATTTTTTTCTTTATTTGAAATGCACTTAAAAAATGGAAATTAAATTCTGAATATAAGATCTTTACCTTGATGGTGATTTCACACATCTGACGAATTTTGGCAGGGCTCCGGCAATGTAACTTTAGCACTATACCACTGCCACATTGCTGCCATATTCATCTTCATCTAAGATGATTGCTGTTTCTTTTTATCTGCCCGTAGAATTTTAAAATTGTTATCCTGTTTGTAGTGTTTTCAACTGTCGCTAAATATTGACTTCAGCCTGGAAATCAGCAGCTTGTGGCTATCTTTCTTTAAATCATTACTCATTCTGCCAACTACAATACAAGAACCACAAACCAATCACATTATGTCTACATTAAGATTGGAAATCTTTAAAAAAATAGCAAAAGTTTTTGTTTAAAAAATAAACACAACACTGACGGCACTTTTCTACATTTTGTAAATAATGAATAAACACAACACTGATGGCATTTTTCTACATTTTGTAAAATAGTAAATAAACA